GAAAAATAAAAGTTAGCAAGGATATGGAAAAATTGAAACTTTTGTCCACTTGTTAGGAACGCAAAATGATGCAGCTGCTATGGGAGCCAGTATGGAGGCTTCTCAAACAATTAAAAAGGAAATCTTTTCAGATGCTACAACATGGATGAACCTTGAAGACATTACACTAAATGAAATAAGTTAATCACAAAAAGACAAGTATTATGTGATTCCACTTATATGAGGTATCTAAAGCAGTCAAACTCAGAAACTGAAAGTAGAGAGGTGTTTGCCAGAGACTGAGGGGAAGGGGAAAAGGGGAATTATTGATAATGGGTACAGAATTTCAGTTTTGCAAGTTGAAAAATTTCTAGAGGTCTGTTGCACAACAATGTGTGCACAGTTAACACGACTGTAACGTATACTTAAAAATGGTTAAGATGGTAAATTTTATGTTTTTACTATATTTTTTTTAAAAAAGTTTAAAAAGAGGAGGAAAAAAGCACGAGTTCAGACTATGTTGGCACCCACACTGCTCGAAATAGATGGCAATGATGAATAAAATATAAAAATGTAAGATCTAAATGACATAACCAGGTTCAAAGCAAGTTAAGTATCCCTATGGAATGTAGGAAGACACTAAGCAGTTTATAGCTGCAAAGCTCCATATCGTGAAGTTGGTGGTGTGCCTCTGATCAAGTCCATGGGAACAAAAGCCCTCTGTGGAGGATGGGGACCAAAGTATTATAAGAATGCTCAGAGAGATAAATGCGTTAATAACTTTCTATAAAAAGAACAGGTAGTAAAAATAGGAAGAAATCAATCAAGATCAGGTAGATATTACTTGGAAACCATTAGACAACCAAAAATGAAAAATACATAGTGATTGAAATCACAAATTAGATGGCATTAATTCTAGAGTAGGTAAATTTGAGTTTCTAACATAAGTCGTTTTGAGCATTATCAGCATCAAGATAGAGAAGTGAAATGTACATGGGTTAAGAGTTAAAATATCTCATAACTGAAGAAATATGCATCTTTTTATTAAAAGTGCATTCTGAATTTCTAACAAGTAAATTAAGATAGATTCACAACAAGATATTATAGTCGGATTTGCAGAACATGAAACATAAAGAGATTTTTTTTTCCTATATAGATTACCTACAAAGGAAAGAATATTAAACTGATGGCAAACTTCTCATATTCAACAATAGATATCAGAAACCAATGGAGTATAATTTTCAAAGTCCTGGGAAAAATACAGGTCTACTAGAATCCTATAACAATCTGAACTATAATTTATGATTGAAAGCAAAAAGAAGGCATGTTCATGGACACCAGGACAAAGCGAATTCACCACCTACATAGACCTCATATCCAAAACAAAGATTTCTTTGGGCCAAATTTGATACATACACAAAACCAAAAACTATATGCATAGAAATTATTTTAAAGATTGGTAAATTTAACTATTATCTGTAGAATAATAACTAATCATGCATATGATTTTATTTTAAAACTTCACTAATCAAATTGGCAAGAAGGGTGGTGGTGTTTACTAGGCAAGATGACATCCTAAGGTCAACCAGCTGTTTGGAATGCAGACAGAAACAAAAAAATATTGAGCATATATAATGAGTATATATAATCTTATATACTTATAAATGCATGTTAAAAAGTAAGGGTAAATCACTAAAGACAGAATCATAACCTACATTTACAAACTAGTGGAAGAATAAAAATAGAATAGAGAAAAAGTGTCAACACAAGGAAATAAAAAAAGAACACAGAAGCAAAAGAAAAAAATATGAACTACAATGGCAACAACAAATCCAGATGCATCAACAATCTCACTAAATGCACATGAATTAAATTCAGCTATCAAAACACAGATTTTTCAGAATGGATCTTTACATTTTAGCTCTATGCTACTTAGCAGTCACTCCATCTTAACCACTCTTTCCTGTCTCCTGGTGACAGGAAAAAATCAGAAGTCACAAGGGAATTAATTCCTAGTTTTAAAATGAACGCAAACCAGGTAAATGACACACCGCTGGGACTCTAAGTAGCTTCTTTAAGACCTGTTGGGTTTGGCTCCAGCCACACATCAGCCCCCTGTCCTTGCCACATACCAGATATGGCCCCTGTTGATGTGCCTAACTATACTGTTTAACATGAATGAAATAGGAAACGACTTAAAAAAAAAACAAAAAAACAAAAAAAACCCGCCAAATTTTATATACACCAAAACACCTCAAGAAAACTTGTGTTAATAACCTGCTTTTAACTCACCACCAGGCCCCTGGCTGTGCTGGTGCTATCCTGCTGAGGCATACCACATAGCTGAGCAGTACTGTGTTTGTGATGGAGCCTTGATGTTCAATTCTTTTTCAGGTCTGCCTACCCCAGGATCAGCTCTCTCTAGTCTTATAATGAAAGCCTCAGGCCTATGCCTACTGTTTAAAATTAAACACCAGGGTGCCTAGGTGGCTTAGTCAGTCAAGTGTCAGACTTCAGCTCAGGTCATGATTTTGTAGTTCATGAGTTCAAGCCCCCATCAGGCTCTGTGCTGACAGCTCAGAGCCTGGAGTCTGCTTTGGATTCTGCGTCTCCCTCTCTCTGCTCCTTCCCCCTCTCAAAAATAAGTAAACATTTAAAAAATTAAATTAAATCAGATTAATTGAATACCAACACTTACTCCTATTAGTTCTATCCAGAGAGAGGATGATTTTGAAAGTAGGAATCCTGATGATTTTTGTCAGCAATGGCATGCTTATAATTAAAGGAAAATTGTTCTCAGTAGCCTCTACCATAAAGGGAGAAATTAGATGATTCTTGGTATGAAGCAATAAAAGAAAAGGAAATTGAGTATGTGGTTACCCCAAATAGGTAACTCACCAGGTAATTATTGGCAGTCTAAGGCATTTACTCCTTTACAAAAAAGCACCTGCAGTAAAATTATCTAATCAGGAATTTCTTGAAACCCCTCCTATGGGCTCAAGACCTCTGTGCCTTACCCTTAATTCTGAGCAAGAATGATAAAAAGAATGCATTTCTGAACATGCTTCAGAGTATGCAGTTTACTTAACTCCTACTGAATATCCAGGCTCCTCTCAGGAACTTTGAGATTGCACCCAACAAGGGAGACCTCTTTACACTTGGATCCCCTACATACACACACACACACACGCACACACACACACACACACAGGCTCCTACACACTGTGCTCTGCCCACAGTACTGTTGTCAGACTTTCTGTGTTTTTCTTCTTCTAAAACCTTTGGAAATAAACTCTGGTCCAAAGATCTGAACTCCGTCTTTTTTGCATAACTGATAGTTTTGGCTCTTTGCTTGATGACTGGTTAAATCCCTAAAGTCAATACTATCCTAAGATTATCTCCATGTTTTAGTTTGTACTACAGTGAAACTTTTTTTTAAGTTTAACTAATTAGAATTACTCAAAACAACAAGCTTTTATATTTTTTGCTACTTTTAATTCTTATATTTAAAATATAAACTCATAATAACTGGACATTAAGAACTGTTAGAATTATGTCACATTAAAAATGAAAGATCATTTTTGTTTTAACCAAAAATGTGTTTACCTGTAAGTATTATATTGAGCAGAACTGTTGAAATAATATGTATGTACACATCTAGTATATGAATGCAAATTCAGATCTGAGTATGCTTGGTAATAAAACAGCAACTTTAAAAATCTTAATATGAATGGCAGATGTATTACTAAAAAACAAGCATAGTACAGCAGAGATTCATTCAACTGAATATGGAAAAAATTTTAAAAACAATTTAATATTTAATTTAGAATCTAGTAAGTAGAACTTCCATTTTCTTTTTTTTTTTTAAATTTTTTTTTTTCAACGTTTATTTATTTTTGGGACAGAGAGAGACAGAGCATGAACGGGGAAGGGGCAGAGAGAGAGGGAGACACAGAATCGGAAACAGGCTCCAGGCTCTGAGCCATCAGCCCAGAGCCTGATGCGGGGCTCGAACTCACGGACCGCGAGATCGTGACCTGGCTGAAGTCGGACGCTTAACCGACTGCGCCACCCAGGCGCCCCCAGAACTTCCATTTTCAAGGATATCTCTTCATGAACTTCAAATAGGCTATTTCCTTATGAGAGAACAGATATAGATATCTGTATCTATATCTATATCTATATCTATATCTATATCTATATCTATCTATTCAGTGCAGTCACATTTTCCCAATACATAAATTATTATCTTGAGAGTCAGACAGGCATTAGAGGAGAGTTAACTACTTTACAATATGTCAGTGCTCATAATGTAGTTACTGATACTACCTAATTTTGTCAGTTTTGGAAATAAAAGAGATGTTAAACAACCCAGTGTCCAACACCCTCACTTTAAAGGTCCAGAAATTAAGCCAAAGAGGGGGAGGTAACTTGTCCGAAGAGAAATAGTAACTGAAATATAAATAAAACTCAAATGTCCAGCCCCTAATCTAGACCTCATTCCATAAATTCACATCATCTTTGAAGTGATGAGTTATGCCAGGAATCTGATATATTAGGTACTGAAAAGATTTATTCAATATAAACAAAACACAACCTATTCTGAAAGTTTTTCTCCACAACAGGACACAAAAGACTCTCTGAAGACAAACTGAAGAATTTAACTGCATAAGCCATCCTCTGTGCTTACAGGAGAAGTAATAGGAGAAAGGAAAAAACGTCTTACCCCTTGAATTAAACAGAACGGTAAAATTCAAAAGATCAATTATCCTCTAGAAGTGGAAGCCAGACAAAGAGAATTTATATTGCATAGACAGTAACTAGGTCTTTCTCAACAGGGCATGATCCTTTGCATTGTAAATTATAAAATCTTAGTAAAATCCTGACATTGGGTCAGAAAATATAAAATGACTTCGACTTCTAATTTTGTTCCATAAAAGAATGGTTACTCCACTACCTGTCAACACCAGTTTGTGTGTGCACACAAGCACATGCACACGTACACTTTCCAAGGTACTTACTGAGCTATAGAGATAGCCTTCACCATTCATGGCCACATAGAGGCTGGCCTTCACCCCTTGGATGGCCACCACACGCAGGCCCACGGGAATTAGATTGAAGAGGGCTGAAGAGGAAAAAAGAAGACAGGAAAAAATCAGTGACCTTTTGAATAAATCATCCTGCCTCTTAAGAGGACTCTTTTGAGAATTCAAACCTATGAACTGAAATTAGTAGGGAGAGAGAGGGAGACTGAAGAGGTCTAAGGGTGGGGAGAGCAAGCTTCTTATCTTTGCACCACTTTTAATTACCTATGCGACCTCAGGTAAATCAAATAAACTCATCTGTAATAAAGGGGTAACATTAGAAGGTCTCAAAGGGCCCCACGTTTTTGCTTCACAAAATGAACACATACTCAAACAGTATAATATGATTTTTTCAAACAAGTAAATAATTTGAACCAAAACATTCTCAATAGTGGAAAACATAATTGCCGTCATATGTAATAATAAAATATGACCTTTAAAACCTATGCCAGCGCTTCTTGTTTTCAGATTTTTCCCTGTTGTCTTGAACATTGTCTTGAATACAGAAGATAAACATAAAAATCACTGACTCATTCTTAGCTACATTGGTAGAATGAGAGCATTTCTTTTTATAGTTCAATTATTTTACATGTAAATGTAGATATGTAAACAGATGTATCTCTAATTGATAGCTTAAGCTGTAATAGACATATATCTCAGAAAACACACACACACATGTATAAATACATGCACAAAACCACTAAAACCATTAAAAATTAACTTGTTAAACTGAATTCAGTATCCCGTGATGAAATGAGAACAGGTTTGTGGTCTTTAAATATTTTGGTTGTCCATCACTGAACAATCTATATGTCTACTTGGATAAGGTATTCAAATACCAGAAAGAAAAATAAGAAGATAATCTATTTTTCTTCCAACAATACATTTTGATGAATTACATCTTCCTAGCACTACTCTAGTTATTGTTCTGATTACAAAATGAGCATAAGCATTAACATTGTCCCTTCCCTGAAATAATTTGTAATACATAAGGGAAGAAAGTAATCATATAGTTAGGCACTACAGATGCAACATGGCTATGAACTAAATATCTCACAGCTTCATGAATAAAAGAATATATCTGTAGCTCACTTTAACATCCTAGTTTAGTTGGAAATTTTTATCCCTCTTTTCTACTGATAAAATTTCCATCAGTTCTGGTCATCTTCTTAGTGTTGAATTTAAGATGTATGTAAATCCAACCAAGGGCTACCTGGAATGACTGATTATTCTGGACTTTTCTCAATGTAGAATGGTAAGCTAACTAACCACACACACTCACACACACACACACACACACACACACACACACACACACACACACAGTTTGACTTCCAGTCAAATGTTCAGTTGATGGGTGTAGAGGATCAAGACTTAGACCACAGGTTACTACAGCAGGTTTCAATTCTTAGATGCTTGACATTGGACCAGTTCCTTTGCCTCTTTAAACCTGTTTCTTCATTTGTCATGACAGTTGAGACTAAATCTTAGAAGATGCTCAAGAATTATTAGCCAGCTCAATTTGAATATGAACTGTTTTTGTTCTTCACACTGTCCTTGTGCTACTGAAATAACTTAAGAAGTACAAGACCTTAAAGTCTACTTGGGGAGAGAAAGCTAAGACATATGGAATAATCTGATACAGTGTATAATTTATTTCTATAATTAAATATAATATATGCATTCTATATATATTTTCTATGTTACAGAAGTTCAGGAAAATGGAAGATCTGTGTGGCCTGAAATATTCAGGAAATGTTTCACATGGAATATGGAACCCAGGTTGACACAAAGAAAGGGCAGAATTTGAGTAAGTCAAGAACAGAAAAACATTTTGGGGGGACAAGCGGTTAGGTGATTCTGGCGGATAATGTATGTGTAGACCAGTAGATGGGAAGATTTGATTCATACTAGGGATAAGTGAGAATGAATACCACATAGATAAAGTAGGGATAAACATCCGAATGTCTGTCACTCTAATCTTAGATATCTAAACTTTGCCAAATGGAAAACAAGAAGTGTGACGCATAAAGATTCGAGCAGCAACAGATTACAAAAAAAGTGTGAGGTTTGCAGACAACATAGTTTCTAAAGTAACCACTCAGAAGCTACATGGCTTTGAGCCATTCATTTAACCTCTGCTTTATTTTCCTATCTGTAAAATGAACATAATAATTGTTACTGCAGAGTATTTATAGAAGAATCAAATGTACTATCAAATTCTTAAAAGTGTTTCATAAAGAGAGAGGTGTTCTCTCTATATAAGAGTTATTTGTCATTAATATATGTTTTCTGCTTGTCAAATAAGGTTACCTTAGGGCATGATGTAAAAACTGACATCATCTCACTGGTATCTATTGAGTTTATACTCAGAATTGTTTAATACTTTAAAAAATAATACTTCATTTTTGTGCAACTCTTAATCTTCAAAGTATTGATAAATTCATCACTGTATTTGACCCTCAACCATGAACACTATGGAGCATTTAGGACAGAATGATTATCCTAATTTTAGGAAGACAAATAGGTTCAATGTGGTAACCCAAGTGAAACTCTACCTGAACAAAGGTTTTCTGGCTCTCTCACATGTGTTTCCTCCTTCTTTATTTTTAAGTTTATTTTCTCCTAATATCCATTCTTGCCTTTTCACAAAGTCTAAGACTACTTAGCTACCTTTCCATACATATCATGCAGCTGGGTGTGGCTGTGGACTCAGTAATGGCCAAAGAGATGTTGGCAGAAGGGTCTCTGCATAGTTGAAGACTCTTTCCTTAAAGACAGCTTGTGGGGGGGCGCCTGGGTGGTTCAGTTGGTTGAGCATCTCATTCTTGATTTCTACTCAGGTCATGGTCTCGTGGTTCATGGGATTGAGCTCTGCATTGTGCTCCATGCTGACAGCATGAAGCCTGCTTGGGATTCTCTCCCTCCTTCTCTCTCTGCCCCTCCCTGACTCTCACACTTGCTCTCTCTCAAAACAAATAAACTTAAAAAAAAAAGATAGCTTATAAGTTTCCTTCGCCCTCTTCTCAACCATCTGCCTTACTGTTGTGTGGACTGGGATGGGGGTGTGGTGGCTGGATCATCTGAGGCCATGAAAACAAAGACTACCCCCCCCCGGGAGTGGTGGTAGGCAACCTGGAAAGAGTTGGGTCTCCGAGGACTTTGGGGAGCAATGGCACCAGTCCAGCAATTACCTAGGGTCTGGCTTTTATGGGAGAAAAATAAGGCCTTGTTATTTTAGTCTGTGTAATGTGGAGCCAACCGTAATCCTAACTGATAAAGGAAGCAGAGTGAATATGTAAGGTACCAACTAAAGGAAGGTATTTATACATTGTAAATAAATGCAACTACTGGAAAATATTAAGTTCAGTGAAAATTCTTATGAGAAAGAACAATGAAAACCAACATTGTGCAAAACATCTTTCTCACCTAAAGATTTCTCAGGACAAATGCTAAGAATATTGATCCATCTAACTGAAACAGTCATAACAAAGCAACTAGAAAGCTTTTCATACCTGAGGACAGTGTGAAAATTACTAAAGCCAGGCAGGGACAAAAGCAAGAAACTGTGAAAGTTCTATGCAAACCAGAAAGTGATAATGGCTTTTCAATGGTATGCTTTGGGAGATTTAGCAAGTCTATAAAAAAATCAGTAAACATTTTGGAATTAAATTTTTAGTGGTAAAAGCTAAAAACTACTCTCTTTGGGAAGGTCTGCATCTGCCTCCTAAAATCTTGAAAAGTGGCAAATGACTTACTCTTATCTATTATTTATCTTCATTGTAGTGCACAGGCTGTAACTCACAGGAGCCCTCTGCTACTCACAAGAATTCCTCCCGTGTCTCCAGTCTTCCTCTCCACCCTCGAAGCTACAGCCCTAACTCATAGGAACTGGGCCACACCATTGTTCCAGTCCCTGGAATCTACTCATGCCATTTTCCTGCTTACAACCTCTAGGTACTCTACACTGACTACAGATGGATCCAAAGTTTCTACTCTGATCCTCAGCACCCTTTGCAATATGGCTTCAAATGGCATTTCCAGTTTATCACCTGCTACTCACGCATTCCATTCACCAAAACCATCTTTATAGAGTTTCCCCGTTTCCCAAGTCCCCCCTTGATCTTTAAGTAGGTTAAATTTTCTTTTCTTTCCTTTTCTTCTCTCTTTTTGAAAATCTGTCTTTACTATTCAACTGCACCATAAGTTTTACCCAAACCCTTGAGATGGCTGTTTCCTTTTCCATAATTGTGTAATTCATCAGTATATCTTTATAATAGCATTTCAGACATGGCATTATAGCCATTTGTTTACACATCTGTCTCCATCCCTAAAATGGAAGACTTTTCAGGGTAGGTCTCTGCAATTTCTACCCCAGTTATATGTACATATCTTACATTCATCAAATGTTATTGATTATAAGGGTCATGAAAAGACACATTTCCAGAATTTATGGTCTTCTTATTGGAATAAAAGTGCTTTTTCTTTTTTTTCTTAAGATCAACATATTTTTAATATCAAAAAGAAATTAAAAACTTAAAACATCTCAGCCTGAAGATCAAAATTATATATAGTCACACATTTCTGCTACATGGCATCATTTCCTCTAATATATTTACTTACTGCTTCTAGTAATTTGATCTTCCTCTTCCTACTCTTTAGCCCCATGTTTCTGCTTACTTCATTCTCTCTGCTTGGAATGCTGCTCTCCCCATATCTTCACACTGAACCTCCTGACATGCTTGACATGACACACCAAATACCAAGTGCTTTCTCTCACTCCTAAGCTGCCCTAGTCCTGAATCTAGACTGTTTTCACCACAATTTATAATTTTCTTCCTTAAAAAATATGTTTCTGTCCTAACCACAACTAGAATGTAAGCTCCCAAAACAAATATCACATCTAAACCACACCTGTATAATACAGAGAGTAGAGAGTGGGAGAGGAAGAAAAAAGAGACAGAAACAGAAGAGAGAGAAAGACACACACACACACACACACACACACACACACACACACAGAGAATAAACAGGGTAACAT